TTTATTTAGTTTTACTTAACTATAATACCACAGAAACAAATGCAAACAAATATTTTATCCTATTTAATTTTATAATATTTCATTTGATATTTTTTTACTGATAAACTGTCTATAATTTTCTTTTCTTGAATTGTTTTTCTTTTTCTTTTATTGCTCAGAATAATGTTTTTAAAGGCAGGCAAAGGGGTTATATTTTATTTTGTATTGTTTTTTCTTAAATATTTTTAAACGTATTTATTACGTTTATTTAATTTAATTTTAAGTAACAAATTTTTTTATGGTTTTAGTTTTTTAACCATAATAACCCTAAATCAAAGACTAACGATTCTCATATAATTTTATAATATTTGTAATATTAATTTTATATTTTTTTATTGATAGGCTGTCTATATATATCTTTTATAAGTTTTTCTAGTTTTGCTAAAGCAAGCCAAGGAGTTGTTTTGTTAAAGTATTTTTGTTAATAAAAATGTAATACTACGTTTTCTTTCTCTCGTGTGATTGCATAAGTGACTAGAGGTTTACAAGTGCCAATAGTTTCCATTCATTGTGTATTTAATGTTTATTTTGTTTCAGTTCCATCGTAAACACCATATGTCATTTTTGATTTTATTTTTTAATAGCTGAGGAACTATTAATAACAAGGAGTCATACTGAATACAGAATATTAGTTTAAGGAAAGTTCCTTGAGTTTCATAATCAATTTGGCTCACAGATGAACAGCAGCTGAAGTATTTAATCTGTGAATCCTGATTTGATGATGTAATGCACTGATTGAGATGCATGCAGTAGACTGTGATCAGGTTTACGGTGGCTTTACCTGGTTCTGACCGTCTTGTTCTTGAAGCCCATGATCACGTGACTGTGTTGGGACAGTCCGAACTGCAGGGATTCTGGGATGGTTTCTGTGAGATCCGCCACTGCACACTGAGGAAGTGACCATATAAGGGCGTGAGACAGCTATGACATTCTTACAATGTTACAGTCGTGAGTAACACATGTTCTGTGTTCACAGAAACTCAGCGCTATCTGAAGAATGCCACACACCTGTCATAATGACAATGAAACCTTTGATTTCAGTGCGTCAAATAAAGAGCTATTATACTCACCTAAAACCACAAACATTTTTGTTATGCAACATTTCTCATTTTATCGTGTGTGATCTCATTCAAATTAAAGTGAAACCAAAAAATACAGAAATATAAAAACTATAAGAGTTAGGGATGCACCGATACCGATACTGGTATCGGTATCGGGCGAGTACTGGAAAAAGTGGTATCGGTGCATCCCTAATAAGAGTATCTCGGTGATACTAAAATAACACTGGTCACAGGATTCTGTGGTTACTTAGTAACAGTGTAAACTGTGATTGTTACAGCTGCATCATCATCAGGGGCCTGTTTCATAAAACAAGCTTACCAAATAAGCCAGGCTTAGTTCAGTTCGTCTGACTTATTTTGAACCAGATCAGCTGACAATGAGTCAGACTAACTGAAATAAGCCTGGCTTATTTGGTAAACCTGTTTTATGAAACAGGCCCCAGATGTGAGCAAAAGTGTTCTTTGATGAGTAAATAAAGCTGGATGACTTTATTAGGAAATAAAAAATACGATCAGAGACAGAATAAAGTCAAGAGAGTGAATCAAATCAAACTAGTGTTACTTTAGTATCATTGGGATACTATTATAGTTTTATTAAGTACATAAAGTTAAACTAAATAAAAATGAGAAATGTTGTGTTGGCAACTAACTGAAAAAAAAGTTTAAAGTTTTTAGATTTTATTTTAGTTTATACTTTTTTTTGATTTAATTTATTAAAATTCTTCTAAAATTTATTTTTAAAGTTTATTTTACTTCAAGTAACAAAAATGGTTATGGCTTTAGTTTTAGTGAACTATAAAAACCCAAGACAAAGAAATGCCTAATAATGAAAATATACTGACCGAGACTTTTCAAATGACTTTTACCATAGTTAAAATTATCAATGAAATGATTTTCAGATTGATTTTTTCCAGCTGATGAACAATAAAAACATTGACAGACATTTAGAATCCATCCTGCTTTAAAGAGCTCGAGCATTTAAAGAGACAAATGAGAAAACTGAAGCGCTTATAATAAACAGAATGTTATCATGCATTGATGTGGGCACTGAAAACAAATGAAAAAAAGTTGAACAAAAAAAAAATCATGTGTCTTCGTGTTTTTTTCAGAGATGTATATAAATCCAAATCTAGTTGTTGTATAAATATTTACTGTATATACGTGTTCGCTCCACTCAGGCGTCTGCAGGTGTGTGTGTGTGTGTGTGTGTGTGTGTGAGTGTGAGTGTGTGTGAGTGAGTGAGTGAGTGAGTGAGTGAGTGAGTGAGTGAGTGAGTGAGTGAGTGAGTGAGTGAGTGAGTGAGTGAGTGAGTGAGTGAGTGTGTGTGTCTGTGACTCACGCTGCTGCTGCCGGGTGTGAGCGCGCTCAGCTCCACCGGGGGTGACAGGGGGCGCGTGGCGGGGTCAGAGGTCGGCTCCGCCTCCAGCTCATCAGGCAGAACCACACGTTTGGGTCTCTCCTCCAGCAAACAGCTGTCCATGTCCACGTCCTCATAGCGCAGAGCAGAGGACAGATCCAACAACCTAAAACACACATAACACCTTCACATTCATTCAACCTGCAGCTGATTATATTTCATAATACTGTACTTAACTTTTTTTATTTATATAGCGCTTCATGCAATACAGATTGTTTCAAAGAACCACATACAAGAAAATAATAGTGATAATGCTGCACAATTCATCAATTATGAAAAACTCAATTTCAGCTGAAAAGCAGCTCCACAGAAGACAATAGAGTCATTATTACAGGGTTATAATTTAATAATTAAAACTAAAGACCCAAAAGCATTTTTGCTACTTGAAATAAAAGTAAACATTAACTGAAATAAATAAATAAATATAAAAAACATGAAAGTCATTTCAGCTAGTTGCAAAGGTAATATCTAATTTTCGTTTAGTTTAAGTACTAAAATAACTAAAACTAAATAAACTAAGACTAAAATAAAAATTAATAAAGACTAGACAAATAAATATGAAAATAAAATGAAAATGTTAAATTAAACCTATATAGTAATATAAAAATAAATAAATAAATAAAAACAACAAAAAACAAAATTACCATAACTAAAATTAAAGTGAAAACTGAAAATACAAACATAAAATTAAAAATATTAACAAAAACTATATTAGCATATCAATGATAAAAAAATATTGAAAAAATAAAAAAATAACATTGCTATTAAACTAAACTGAATTAACATTTAAACTAAATTGAGCAAAATAATGCAGTGTCATCTTAAACACTTTTGACATACACCTTAAGTAATAAAATACACTATAGAAATACGTTTTTGCTTTGGACATTTACCTTGGCAGCAATATGGTTTTCAAATGAATATATTAATCAGTACCATGTTATATAGATATATCAAAGTGTTACCATTTGATGACATCACTGTACCGGTGCAGTACTTTCTGTAAGGGACATTCTCACATATCTGTATTTTAAGTCATAGATGTGTTTGAATGAACAGTGTGTGTGTGTATGTGTGTGTGTGTGTGTGTAAGTGTGAGTGAGTGAGTGAGTGTGTGTGTGTGTGTGTGTGTGTGTGTGTGTAAGTGTGAGTGAGTGAGTGAGTGTGTGTGTGTGTGTGTGTCACTCACATGCCGTCCACCGCCGTGTTCCTGATGCAGCCGTAGAAGGAGTCGCTGGAACCCGTCTCTCCCGGAGGAACGCCGCCGATGAAGAGCCGCTCCAGAGCCAGAGCTTTATCTGCAGACGAGCCCAGCTTCACCGTCGCTTGGTTCTGCTCGTCCACAAACACTGCGATGGACCTGCAGAAAAAACATGCAGGCGAAGAAATCAGACCGACTGAGCTCAACCCATCAGCAGTAAACGCTACTAAAACCACATCCGAATACACTCAAAACATATTTAGATTTATGCATTTGAATTGCATGTAAAATTTCCATCCATTTGGATAACACCGTTTTAACATAAATTAATAAACTTAATGTGATGCACACATTCATTTAAAAAGTCATCATTTAAAAAAAATCATGGCATAGTTTATTAGTAACTATTTGCATCTATTTGATTTTAATTAAATAATCATATTTTCAGAATGCATTCATTCAAATTGCTTAAAATCAGCATAAGTTTTTTTTTTTAAACCAGGGCTATTATAGTTAACTAAAACGAAAAATATATCAATAAAAAACATTATCAGTACTTGAAATAAAGTAAACGTTAAACGAAATAAAAATAAACTTCAACTTATTTTATTTCAGCTAGTTTCCAAGGAAACATTTCTCATTTTCATTTAGTTTAACTATATGTACTAAAATAATTAACAAATACGAATTAATAAAAATTATATACACATATAAAAAAAAACCGAATAAAAATGCCCTTTGACTAAAATTAAAATGAAAATGTAATCTGTACAAATACATTTCAAAATCTCATTAAAAATCTTAAAAACTTTAAGAGTTTATCAATGATTCTAAAATAACACTGAAAACATGAACAACATTTACATTTATTCAGTTAAAAAGTATATGGCTAGACGTGAAACAAGCAATATAATCAGAAACTGAAACAAACTGGATTTATTGATGATAAATATATAAAGCTGGTTATTGTTTATGTAAAACATGGTTTATTAACACTATTACAGTAATCTGACCTGTTTCATTGATGTATGATTGATAAATATGAATCACATTACGTTTATGTTAAAACTGTGTAATCCAAATGAATGGGAATTGTATATGCAATTCTTACATTTGAGCTTGTATATTTAGTATGAAGGTTGTGTAATATTGCTCTGTGTGTAACAGACCGTTTGTTCCTCTGCAGTATGAGTGAATGCTCCTGTCCGTCACTGAAGGAGCCGTTCTGTGATTTGACGACGGCTTTGTGCACAGCTCCGCCCTCAGCCACGCCCACATGAACCTCCAGCGATCCAGACACCAGCATCACCAGGAGGAACGACTGAGAGAAGAGCATCTCACACACACACACACACGATGCTGTGAAGACTGAACAGACCTGTCGGTGTGAGCTGAATCCCGCCAGGATCACTCCTCGCTCTCGTCTGCTGGAGAAGCTGCTCATGATCTCCGTCTGAAGAGTCAAGAGGACGGCAGGCATCTCCAGAAAACCTCCGCCGAACACCGACACGCTGCGGATCGGCTGCAAACACAGCAGAAAATCCTCCAAATCAGAAACTTCAAGAGAAGAAATACTCCTTCAATTATAATTAATAACTTTCCTGGAGATCACAGAACTTTATATGTCTATGTTTGTGTTTGTATTAAAAGATAAGGGTCAAAGAATATAATAATTAAGGGAGTTTAAAATAATTTTTAGTAATAATCTATCAAAAAATATTAATATTATATCTTTTAATATAAAATTATTATAGTAATAATATGTTATATTGATAAGATTTTAGTTTTAGATATTATATATTTTATTCAAATGATTATAGCAATAATGTTAAATGATAATATTTTAATATTTTAGAGCTTTAGATATATATTTTTTATCTAAAATTACCATATTGATAATATGTTATATTGACACTATTTTAGAGATTTAAACAAAGAAAATGAAAGGGGTTCAAACTTAATTAAGGGGCTTTAAAATAATCTTTAGTAATGATAAATATAAATACTGTATATTAATATGATAAATATAGTATTAATATTTTATATTAATAAAAATATTGTATTTTTTGTTCAACTTACTATTTCAGTGTCCTTTGTTTTATAGCACAATGACAAATGAAAGGCAATAAAAAATACTGTACTTTTCACATACATTTTAGTACTGTAAACAATAATTGTGATTTAATGAGTGAACTGATTCATTTAATCAATTAATTACAGCTGAAGACAAACTCACCTTCAGTTTTGTTTGTTTTGCAGTTCAACAGACACAAGAATCCATTAAATACACAAATGCCAGAAAACCCACAAAATTTTACATTTTTATTAATTAATTTTCAGTGAGTGTTTTATTTTGAAGTGCTTTACTTTTAAAATGATTTATTTTAATTTTATATTTTAAACATTTAATTCATTTTAGCAAGTGGTTTGATTCTTTTTATTTCAAAATGATTTTAAATTATTTTAATTTTAAATTTTTTACCTCTTAATTTTCTTTTATTTTAATTGTACATTTTTAGTGTTTTATTTTTTGTGTTTTATTTAAATTATTTTAATGTTAAATTTGTACCTCTTAATTAATTTTCTTTTATTTTAATTGTACATTTTTAGTGTTTTATTTTTTTGTGTTTTATTTCAATTATTTTAATTTTACATTTTTTACCTCTTAATTAATTTTCTTTTACTTTAATTGTAAATTTTTTAAGTGCTTTACTTTTAAAAATGATTGATTTTAATTTTATATTTTAAACTTTTCATTCATTTTAGCAAGTGGTTTGATTCTTTTAATTTCAAAATGATTTGTTTATTTCAACTTTTCAACATTACCATTTAATATATTTTTATTAAGTGTTTTATTTTGAAGCATTTAACTTTTAAAATTATTTATTTATTTTAATTGAACATTTTTAGTGTTTTATTTAAGCATTTTATTTTCTTTAGTGTTTTATTTAAATGATTTAAATTTTAAATTTTTACCTCTTAAACGGTTTTCTTTTTTTTAAATTGCACATTTTTTATGATTAAATTCTTAAATTTTCATGTGAAGCTGTACCTTGAGGACGCAGCCTTTCTTCACTCCACACGACTCTCTGAGCAGGTCGAAGTTTGTGCGAGCGATTTCCACATTCTTCATACAGCCGACGAAAGAGCGAGCCACAACCTGCCTCCTGCAACCGTGCACAAGAAAATCACATGTAAGACAAAAAAATTCCAAAGCAATGTAACACACACACATCTTCTGAGAGTTTGCTCTCACCTGATTGGTCGAGAGGCCGGTAATCCACCGATATAGATGGGGTCGAGATCAGAGCGATTGAGGTCAGAGGCTGAACCCGGTGACTCCGCCTCCATGACCTCTCGCTCTGAGGGTTTATCAGCGGCCATGACCGACAAATGACCTGCAGACACAACACACAGCACTTCCTGTGAGCTTAAACCTCATAAGAATCACCTGATTGGTCGAGAGGCCGGTAATCCACCGATATAGATGGGGTCGAGATCAGAGCGATTGAGGTCAGAGGCTGAACCCGGTGACTCCGCCTCCATGACCTCTCGCTCTGAGGGTTTATCAGCGGCCATGACCGACAAATGACCTGCAGACACAACACACAGCACTTCCTGTGAGCTTAAATCTCATAAGAAACCTACCAGATGTAATGGATACGAGAGTAGAGCATCACCTCGGCGCTTGTTCCTCTGCAGGGCGATTCTGTACCAGGTGCCAGTGTTGTATGTTCTGCTGGAGGTCAAGGTCAGCGCTCCGGAGCCCAGTTCAAAGGTCAAGTGAACCTTCCCTTCCACCAGCTCGATGGACAGGAAGTCTCTCTACAAACGTGGATGAGAAGAGACTGCTTGATTTCATTTAAAAAAGCCTCTAATACTAGCTTTCTCAATTCTATTTCTATTCTATTTATTTGTTTTCTGTTATTTATTATATAATTATTAATATAATTGGGCTAACTGAGACTTGTTATAGCACTTATTTTGATTGCTTCTACTGTCCTCATTTGTAAGTTGCTTTGTATAAAAGCGTCTGCTAAATGTAAATGTAATGTAAATGAGTGAGATGCTTGTGAGGAGGTGAGAAGTGAACGTACGGTGCCGTTGGAGGCTAAATACAGCAGCAGGCCGTTCGGAGACAGAGTCTTGAAGAACATGACCACGCTGGTGGACATGGAGCGCAGGGACTTCTCCACCACAGAGAAACCGCTGCCGTCGAAGTGGAACGACGTGTCTTCAGTGCGTGGACTGATGGACGAGAAACACACAGGACAGGAAGAGCATCAGTGACTGTTTCCACCTGTATTTACCGCTCATCAAAAACACATCTGAACACTAGCTGGAAACAGGGCTGGAGTGCAGGTGGTTGCTAGGGTGTTTTCAAGTGGTTGCTAGGTGTCATAGATGGTTGCTAGGGCGTTGCTAAGTGGTTGCTAGGGTGCGTTAGGTGGCTGCAAGGGTTTTGTGGGACCTAGGCCATTGTTATGATGTTTTCAGTGGTTTCTAGGTGTCACAGATGGTTGCTAGGGAATTGCTAAGTGGTTGTTAGGGTGCGTTGGGTGGTTGCTAGGGTGTTGCTAAGCTGAGGTGGGACCTAAGCAGTTGTTATGGTGTTTTCAGTGGTTGCTAAGTATTACAGATGGTTGCTAGGGCATTGCTGAGTGGTTGCTAGGGTGTTGCGGGATTTAGGCAGTTGTTATGGCATTTTCAATGGTTGTTAGGTGTCATAGATGGTTGCTAGCGCATTGCTAATGGTTGCTAGGGTGCATTGGGTGGTTGCTAGGGTGTTGTGGGACCTAGGCAGTTGTTAAGGTGTTTTCAGTGTTTTCTAGGTGTCACAGATGGTTGCTAGGGCATTGCTAAGTGGTTGTTAGGGTGTGTTGGGTGGTTGCTAGGGTGTTGTGGGACCTAGGCAGTTGTTATGGTGTTTTCAGTGTTTTCTAGGTGTCACAGATGGTTGCTAGGGTTTTCTGGGCGGTTATTAGGCAGTTGCTAGGTGTCATAAACAGTTGCCAGGGTGTTCTGTGGGTTGCTAGTTTGTCACTAGGTAGTTGTTAGGGTGTTGTTTTGTGGTTCCCAGGCAGTTGTTATGGTGTTTTCAGTGGTTGCAAGGGTGTTTTGGGTGGTTATTAGGCAGTTGCTAGGGCATTGCTATATATTTTCTAGGGTGTTGCTAGGATATTGCTAGAGTGTTTTCAGTAGTTTCTAGACAGCTCCGAGGTGTCATAGTTACTAGAACGTTGTTATATAGCTGTTAGAGTGGTTTGGGTTGTTGCTTTGGTGTCACTAGGAAGTTGCTATGGTGTTTTCAGTGGTTGCTGCAGGTGCTAGTTGTCTTAGATGGTTGCTAGGGCATTGCTATGTGGTTGGTAGGTTGTTTTGGGTGGTTGCTAGGGTGTCGCTAGGCAGCTTCTAGAGTGTTTTCAGTGTCTGCAAGGCAACATAGGTGTTGCTAGGTAGTTGTTATGGTATCTTTATGTTTCTATACGGTTGCTAGGCTGAACTGGATGGTTGCTAGGGTGTTGCTAGGCAGCTTCTAGAGTGTTTTCAGTGTCTGCAAGGCAACATAGGTGTTGCTAGGTAGTTGTTATGGTATCTTTATGTTTCTATACGGTTGCTAGGCTGAACTGGATGGTTGCTAGGGTGTTGCTAGGCAGCTTCTAGAGTGTTTTCAGTGTCTGCAAGGCAACATAGGTGTTGCTAGGTAGTTGTTATGGTATCTTTATGTTTCTATACGGTTGCTAGGCTGAACTGGATGGTTGCTAGGGTGTTGCTAGGCAGCTTCTAGAGTGTTTTCAGTGTCTGCAAGGCAACATAGGTGTTGCTAGGTAGTTGTTATGGTATCTTTATGTTTCTATACGGTTGCTAGGCTGAACTGGATGGTTGCTAGGGTGTTGCTAGGCAGTTCCTAGAGTGTTTTCAGTGTCTGCAAGGCAACACAGATGGTTTCTAGGGCGTTGCTAGGTAGTTGCTATGGTATCTTTATGTCTCTATATGGTTGCTAGGCTGAACTGGATGGTCGCTAGGGTGTTGCTAGGCAGTTTCTAGAGTGTTTTCAGTGTCTGCAAGGCAACACAGATGGTTGCTAGGGCATTGCGAGGTAGTTGCTATGGACTCTATACGGTTGCTAGGTTGAATTGGAAGGTTGCTAGGGTGTTTCTAGGCAGTTGCTATGGTACCTTTATGTCTCTATACGGTTGCTAGGCTGCACTGGATGGTTGCTAGGGTGGGTGAATGGTGTGTTTTACCTCATGAAGCAGCCGCCGCACTCTCCCTGTCTCTCAGCGTAGTTCCACAAGCCGATGCTGTTCTCATTGAGCGACGCTTCGCTCATGCAGCCTCTGAAGTGGGTCATTCTCACCGCTGGGGGTTTCTGGGAAAAACACAACAGATGTAAACAGGGCCAAATACAGAGGAACAGCAGCCGGATCTTCACCTCACCTTCACCTGAGCACCGAGGCCCCCGACGAACACCCAGGTGGATCTGCTGACGTCCATCACGGTGGAGGACCCAGACGCTGTGGTCTTCACTGCAGGCAGCGGCTCGGAGTCCGTCTGCTGGATGGTGAGGGTCCCGTGTCTCCCGAACCTGCGGCACAATCACAGGAGAACCGGACGTCAGAGTCTGTCATTCAAAGAGAAGAACTGAAACGTCCCATCAGCACTGAGAGTCACGAACCGCGTCGCATTGATCCTGTGCCACCGTTCGTTGTTGATCTGAACGTCAGGATACTCCAGTCTGGTGAGTCCAGAGCCAGTGTCCCACAGGAAGGACACCTTCCCATGATGCATCTCCAGAGCCATAAAATCCTCCTGATGTGGATATAAACACATTGAAATACACATACAATCACACTGCATGCATAGATTTTTTTTTTTTTTTATCAGTTCCAATGACTGAAACCAACTGAAATAAGTTGAATCTGTAAACTTATTAACTGGAAATAAATAAAAACTATATAAATTTTTATAAAATACAAATAAATTAAACATAAATTACAAAGATTTAGATTACAAAAAACTAATAAAAATGACAAAAGCACACAAAATTACTAAAACCTAAACTAAAATTAAAGTGAAAACTGAAAATATAAAAATAAAAGCCAATTCAAAATATTAATAAAAACTATAATAATTCTATATAACAATATATAAATAATACTTCAAAATGAATCACTGAAATAAAGTGGAAATAACTAAAAAAATTTATAAAACTATATAGAAATATAAAAAAAACAACAAGTAATAAAAATTACTTTATTTAAAAAAAAATTTAAATTAAAATGAAACCTAAAAATATAAACATAAAAGCAAATTTGAAATATTATTAAAAACTATAATAGTATATAAATAAAACTAAGGTTAAAGATTAATAAGTAAAATTATTAACTGGAAATAAATAAAAACTAAACCAAATAGAACCAAAACTAAATCTAAAATGGCAAGAAAGTACTTCAAATTATTAATAAAAACTATAATAGTATTTTAATATATTGTTATATAGTATTATTAAAGTTTTTATTTTTATAAACATGTATCACTAAAATTAATAACAGGAAATAAATAACAACTCAAACTGAACTAAAAATAATTTACTAAAGTTTAATTAAATAATACTAAAGTTTAAGATGAATCACTGAAATTATTAAATGTTTAAATAAAAAAATGGGAAAAAACTAACAAAAATACTGATAAGATAATAATGATACGAATTCTACTAATAAGAACAATATAAAACGCACGAAGGATTAATGAGCTGCTGGATTCATGAATATTAATCAAGTTGTGTGCGTTCGCTCGAACTGATTTGCTGAAATCAAAACAGGGATGATAATAGGTGAGCGCCAGCCAATGAGATTGCCGTTTGCGCATTAGCTCCACCCACTACCGGAGAAACCAGCAGTTCTTAAACGCTGAAGAATTCCAAAGAAACGCTGTTATTTTGACAGGAAAATACAACAAAGAATATCGTTTACATGTACCGCGCATAGGTAGCGCGTCAATTCTCTCTCTCCCTCTCTC